GTTAAGGGAGGCGGGGCTGGGACTGCCAAAGAGCAGGATGTGCTGGGGCCGGACAGCCGGTGGGGGTGCTGCAGGGTCTCACTGTCTGACGGTACCTCTCACAGGAGCTTTGTAGTGCTCTGGAGCAAGACCATGTGAAGCTACAAATGGCCACGAAAGCTGTAGAGCAAAGGACACGAGAGCTGAGGAAAGAGAAGGAACTTCTTCATGAAAGCCTTAAGCAGCAAATGTATTTAAGCAGAGATGAAGAGATCTCCTACCAGGTTGGTGGTCAGACCCATCTTGGGCTTGGAAAGGTGGCAGTGGGTGGAGGGCACACAGCACCGGGCGCACTGCTCTGAGGTCGCTTTGCTCTGGACCCAGTGGAGGTTTCATGGGATGCCACATCAGGCCTGTGCCATGCTGTGGAGGGCTGTGACCAAACCTGAGAGGCTGCAGGCAGTCAAGAGCAGAAAATCAGTGCAAATGGAGCTGTGCCCAAGAACAGGGCTGTGCTTAAAAGGGGCAGCGTGCAGCAGCCCCTCGTGTCCGGGTGGTTCCCTTGCTGCCTTCTCTTTCCTCCCTTCCAGGAAGGCATTTTTCTAGCAAGGGAGGAGAAGAACAGACTGTTGCAGAAGCAGCAGATGCTGAACAAGAGACTGGAAGACAAAAAGAAGAGGGTTTTCTGGAAGGATCCAGAGATGGTAACTGTGTGTGGGCACCTGGGTCTGCTGGCACGGGGCTGGAGAGGCTGCAGGCGAATGATGCTGGGCACTGTGTGATGACTGGCACAGCTCCTGCTAGTGGGTGGCTCCCGTGGCAGGGCCAGAAACTCCACTCGTGGCTTTGGGACTTCAGGCACAGCCAGACCCTGGGAGAGACTCTGCTGAAGCTCTTTTAGCTGTTTATAGGACAAGGGGTGATGGTTTTAAATAGGGAAAGTTCAGATCAGATATAAAGAAGTTCTTCCCTGTGAGGGTGCTGAGACACTGGTACAGGGTGCCCAGAGAAGCTGTGGCTGCCCCATCCCTGGCAGTGTTCAAGGCCAGGTTGGACGGGGCTTGGAGCAACCTGGTCTGGTGTGAGGTGTCCCTGCCCATGGCGGGGAACTGGATGATCTTAAGGTCCTTTCCAACCCAAACCATTCTATGATTTTGAGCCATGAGCTTATTTCTAAGTCTGGACTAGCAGGGACAGGCCCTATGCAGAGTCCAGTCTCCTCTAGGTGCTTTCTGTGTACTCAAACCTAGATGCTGCAGCCTGTCTTGCCAGAGAAGAAGATGGTATTTAAGGCACTCATGACAAACAAGGATGCAAACAAGCTGATGCTTACCCCACTGGTCCACTACCCTTTGCCGGGGGGCTCAGCTCTCATCACCTTTGAGAAGGCAGAAGGTAAGAGTGAGAAGAGCCCCACCACAGCTGAGTGTTGTGGTCAATCAACTTTGGGGCCTGCCTTGCTTCCCCTTCCTGGGCCTGTCCCTTCTGCCAGCATTGTGGGGGTTT